TTCCGTTTAACAGTAATCATATTACTAAAATAAACAGTATATCCATCAGCACACAGTTTAGAAACAGAAATTAAATTTCTTCTCAAGTTCTGTACATAAAGACAATCTTTAAGCACAAGTACTCCTCTAAAAACTAATTCTACGGTTCCTATTGCCGTAGCTGCAACACTTGCAGTTGTTCCCAAAAATAGTGTCACTTTGCCTTCACTCAAGTATTTTATCCTCTTTATTGATGATTATTCTCGTTATACTTGGATTTACCTCATGAAATCCTGGGATGAAGTACCAACTATCGTGCAAAAGTTTCATGAACTTATTCTTACTCAGTTTAACACTTGGATCAAAATATTCCGCTTTGATAATGCCAAGGAATATTTTGAGAAGAACCCTTCATCATACTTTGAGACCTTTAGGGTTATTCATCAGAGTTCTAGAAAGAAAGGACTGCCATGTAGTTGAGGTTGTTAGATGCCTCTTGTTTGCATCACATGCTCCTATTAAATTTTGGGGTGATGTTGTTTCTTATAGCCACATATTTGATTAACTATATGCCTTCTTGGGCTCTGGATTTCAAAACCCCATTTAGCCTTCTCTTTTCGAATGAGGATCTCTTTTCTCTTCCTCTCTGAGTTTTTGTGCACCTGGTATGTATATGTTCATAATCATCAGAGACATAAATTTGAGCCTAAGGCACATAAGTGCATCTTCTTACGATATGCCTCCACACATGAGGGATATTGTTGTTTCGATCCGGTTCGTGGCACCCGCTTTGTCTCTAGGGATGTCACATGTGTTGAGTTTACTCCTTTCTTTGGTGTTTCTCCTGGGGAGAAGCATTCTGAGGAGCCATTTCCTAGTCCCCAACTGTTCCTTGTCCAGTTCCTTTGGAGTCTTTTGTTGAGCCATCTTCCTCCGTTGCTTCTTCTTCCATTGGGTCTACCTCTCATGTTTCTGCTCCTCCTCCTCCTCCAGCTCATCCTTCTATTTTTCCCTCACATCCCATTATCCAAAGGTGGTACCAAAAACAAAGATTCAGGCATGGGCACGTTGTTTCCACTCCTTAAGCAGAGCATCTGGCACTTCTCATCACTTCTAAGGTAGCAAGTCAGCCCTCATTTGACCTTTCTGCTACATTCCTAGACCTTGACCTTCCTATTGCCCTTCGTAAAGGCAAGCAGAAGCATACAACACATTGTATCTCTAAACACCTGTCCTATAGCCTTCTATTCCCTACCTATTACTCTTTTCTTGCCTCTGTTTCTACCCATGTGATTCCTAGGTTTGTACCAAAAGCCTTGTCCAAACTTAAATGGAGGGATGCTATGATGACTAAACTAGATGCTTTGCATAAGAACCATACCTGGAATATTGTGGATTTTCCTGAAGGGAATAAACCAGTGGGCTGTAAATGGGTGTTCACTATTAAGTATCACTCTGATGGCACTATTGAGAGGTTTAAGGCTAGATTGGTTACTAAAGGCTACACTCAAATGTATGGTATTGATTACCTTGAGACTTTTTCTCCTTTGGCTAAGACGACTTCTGTTCGAGTTTTGTTTTCTCTGGTTGCTACTTTTGATTGGCCCCTCCACCAATTTGATGTTAAAAATTCCTTCTTGAATGGAAACCTACATGAAGAGGTCTATATGTCTTTGCTTCTAGGGGTGTATGGAAAGGAAATGCAAGGGAAGGTGTGTAAACTACAGAAATCCATTTACACTCTTTGAGCCTGGTTTGAGAGATTCATAGCTGTCCTTGTCTCTTTCGGTTATACACAAACTCAATTTGACCATACTTTGTTTCTAAAAAGAAGTAACTCTTTGATGACTTTTCTGATTGTTTATGTTGGTGACATTGTGGTTACGGGTAATGACACCTAGGAAGTGATTAAGCTCAAAAGATTTCTTTAATGAATTTGAGATCAAGAATTTGGGGGATCTCAGATATTTCTTGGGAATTGAAGTTGTTAGATCTAAGGATGGTATCTTCATTTCTCAATGCAAGTATGTTCTTGACCTCCTTGCAGAGACTGGTAAACTTGGTGCTAAACCGACTTCCACCCCTATAGACTTCAATCATAAGCTCTTTGCTATAGATGGTGAACTGTTGTCTAATTGAGGTGTGTTTCAGAGACTTCTCGGGAAGTTGTTATTATCTCTGCATGACTCAGCCAGATATTTCCTATGCAGTGTTATTAGTCAGTTTATGCATTCTCCCAGAGATACACATTTAGCAGCAGCAAACAGAGTTTTGTGTTATTTGAAAGGCACTCCAGGGAAATGTATTCTATTTGCCAAGCATGGACACACGAAGCTAGAGGCATACACTGATGTTGACTGGGTTGGATGTATTGATGATAGGAGATCACCTCAGGATATTGTGCTTTGGTGGCAGGGAACATTGTCTCATGGAGGAGTAAGAAACAATCTGTAGTAGCCAGATCCTCAGCTGAAGCTGAGTACAGGGCAATGGCACATGGAGTGTCAGAATTACTGTGGCTGAGATTACTTTTGGAAGAGTTGGGTATTGACTATGAAAAACCAATGATGCTCTACTATGACAACCAGGCAGCTATCAATATTGCACATAATCCTGTTCAACATGACAGAACTAAGCACATAGAGGTTGATAGACATTTTATACGGGAGAGAGTTGTTTCAGGGGAAGTTTGCTTGCCATTTATTTCTTTAGAAGAGCAGTTGGCTAATGCTTTGATCAAAGGTATTCCAAAAGGGAAGCTAACACACTATATAAGCAAGCTAGGCATGATTGACATCTATGCTCAGCTTGAGGGGGAGTGTAGAGAGACTGGGCCGAATTGGTCATAGTATTTGTTTTTTGTTTAAGTAGTATGCTATTTATTTTGTATGTTAATGGGCCTGTGAACTTCTTTTATAAGTTCCTGCTTAGCTGGCCGCTCACTTAAGGGCAGACTTGTAATTAACCTAGTTAATGAAGATTAATAAAAGAATTAGTGAGGGGGAGAGGAAATTATCGAACTCCCTTCTTCTCCATCTTCTTCTATTCTGCTGTATTCCTCTTTCTCTCTCATTCTTTTCTACTCTAATCAAGTTCTTTATGTCAGATTTAGAGGACAAATTTACTACTATGCCCCCACTCTTATTTTTTTAGGGTGGCATAAATGCATAATAGCAGATGAAAAGACAAAACTGCCCCTTTGCTACTAATGATGCACATTGCAACAATTACTAATCCTGCTAAAACTAACTAAATGTAGAGAAACCCAAAATTAGTAAAATTAATAAATCATGATTTACTATAATTAGTAATTATGGAAATTACAATAAATAGTAAGTCCGAAGGTTACCATAAATAGTAATTTCGAAATAACAGTGAATTTATAGGAAATCTTAAAACCCTTTTCTTAAGACACTTGCAACTGGTAAATAAATCAAAAAAACTTGAAAATTATAATATTACTCAATAACTCTAAAATTGGTGTACAAATTGAAAAACTGATTTATTGCTCCTGGATTCTTGCCTTGCTTCTTTATCTGCATTATGTAGGGAACAGAAGAAGTTTATAAAGGAAAATGTTATATAAAATGTTATTTTAAGTGGAATGAGTAGGGTTGGAGATTTTAACAGTTGGTTTTGTGCATTTCAGTTGATATCCTCTATGCATTTCCTTTATTCTGACTGTAACCTTTGTCTTTAATAAATTTTCTTCTCATTTTATATAAAAAAGGATTGCACTTACAAAGAAGTACATGATAAGATATGATGAAACCTTGGAGTGAGGCAGAAGGAAACTACAGATGATTGCTTGTAGGAATGCTATAGGCAAAGAGATAGGAGGCAGGGGAGGAAAGAAGTGAATTGGGTTGTAGGATTGGTCTTAGTAGTAGTTGGATTTTCATCTATCTTTTTGGATAGTTGGTTCATGGTTGATGTTTATCTTGGCCACATGGTTCTTTTATTCTTTTGTTTGGCGGCTGATGTCTAGGGGGCTGAGTTGCAGGGTTGTTATTTTTTGTCATAGGCCACTTCTTTTATTTTTCTTCCCATATACTTCTATCTATACTTTTTACCTTTAATGCATTATCATTTGCCATAAAAAAATCTATTTGTTTTTTGGAGCTTTACATTTTAAATTGTACTTTATAACAAACATGTTACTGTATCTCATATACTCTGACATATTGACCATTACATACTGTATGCAATGTTTCCAATGGTTCATTGTTTGAAGTATTTCTATCCTATATTCTGAAAATGTTGCAAATTTTTAAGGAATTAAACAATCAAATTTTAGATAATTGATTAGTTGCTATTTCCACTGACACTGAAAATTTTGGCTCTGGGTTTTTGGGTAATGGGCTTGTTTCCAGATTGTTTTCCTACCATTGCCACCTTATATTGGCCCTTAAATTACATTGTGAATGTTGGGTATTTGATTTTTCTCTTCTACTTTGTTAAATTTATTTATTTATCCTTTTCTTCTAGTCATCTTGACTTGTATGCTGCAGGTTTGGCATGCAGTTGGCAGGGATAGGAGACCTCTTCGCAAACAGTACCTAGAAGCTATTTTACCTCCGTTTGTTGCCATTCTGAGGCGGTGGCGCCCACTTTTGGCAGGAATTCATGAAATTACTTCCTTAGATGGCCTAAATCCCCTCATTGTTGATGATCGTGCCTTGGCTGCAGATGCATTGCCTCTTGAGGTTATTTACCATCAAGTCTCTTATATATACGACTGTATACATTGTTTTTGATGATAATAATAATGAAATTCATTAATTGAGAAAAACAATGCTATCTATCAAAAAAAGTTGAGAAAAATAATGCTACAAGAATAGGTGAAGAGGTTTCACCAAAGAAAGAAGAAATAAAAGAAGTAAATAACATTATCACCATTAATCGTCTGTACTTATGAACAAGGCCTGATTAGTGCAAATGTAGAAGAAAGAAAAGAGGGAAAAAGAGAAGAGAGAACAGTCACACAAAAGAAGAGAAGAGTGGCGGATGGAGAGAAAAATATACTCTCCTAATTGGCCAAACCTCTATTTACATTGATCTTTTGAAATGTTGCAATATTACATGAATAACTCCAACAACTCCAGCAAGTGGCAATATTTCACCAAGGCAAATAGTAACAACAAAAAATATATAGCGTTTGAATACTTTTCATCCCAACTCAAAGTCCAAACCCAAGGGCAGACATATCTATTCTTTGAATCTTCTCTTCTCAGATCTTTAATTTTTTGATGTACAAGAGCCCAATGTGAGATATGTGAGCTATGTGACACAAGAAAAAAAATAACCCAGCAAATGTACAAATAGACAACAGCTCCGATACCCCATATTTCAATACAGAGAGGGCCTAATTTCCCATTAATGCAAATGCTGCATGTTAATATTCATTAGACCATTTTATTTAACTCATTTGTGCCCATAAAAATATTGTACATTGTGGGTAAATTATATAAATGTTTATTGTAGAAATAACAAAACCTTTAAGCACTTTATTGCTGATGTAATTTTGAATATGCTGCATAAGTTTTCTTTTTTAACTGGAATCTATTACTATCCTGTTCTGTCCCTTTCTCTTCTGTATCTGTAGGTTACTGGTAGTTTTATGGACATGTGTTAAATCCATGCTTGTTTTTTATTCAGTTCATTCTGCTTCTTAATTTCTTTCCTTTCTCTTTACTGCATTATTTGAAATCTTCAATTTAAATTTGTTTTAGGCTGCTCTTTCTATGATATCACCTGGCTGGGCTTCTGCTTTTGCATCTCCTCCTGCTGCAATGGCATTGGCAATGATTGCTGCAGGTGCTGATGGTGGTGAAACTGTAACACCAATAACTACAAAGCTTAGAAGTGACTCATCATTGCTAGAGCGGAAGATGAGACTTCACTCCTTCTCAAGCTTTCAAAAGCCTCTGGAGACAAGTAACAACTCCCCAGCTGTCCCTAAGGACAAAGCTGCTGCCAAGGCTGCTGCCTTGGCAGCTGCACGTGATCTTGAGCGGAATGCAAAGATTGGTTCTGGAAGAGGTCTCAGTGCTGTAGCTATGGCCACATCTGCTCAGCGCAGGAGCTCAAGTGATATAGAACGTGTGAGGAGATGGAATGTATCTGAAGCCATGGGAACAGCCTGGATGGAATGCCTGCAATCAGTTGATACAAAATCAGTCTCGGGAAAAGATTTCAATGCTCTATCTTATAAATATGTTGCAGCCCTTGTTACAAGTTTTGCTCTAGCAAGAAACATTCAACGGTCAGAGGTATGATTAAAGTAATGCTTCTTTGTCCTGGAGATGTATTTCATCACTGATATGGCAAATGGGAATTTTACCCCTTTTGGCAGATTGACAGGCGCACCCAGGTTGATGTTCTAGATCAGCAACGATTGTCATCTGGAACTCATGCTTGGCGCAAACTCATCCACTGTTTGATTGAGATAAATGGTCTTTTTGGACCATTGGGAGAACATCTATCTAATCCTAAACATGTATGTTGTTGGATAATTTATTATGTAATGCTATTTCCTGGACAACATTCTGCATTATGCTGCATTTGGTATTTTTATCTTTTAACAGGTGAACTCTGTTGTATATTCTTATCTTAGATTTATGTGTCAAATTTTCTGTCAAAATCATGATTATGCAGGTATTCTGGAAGTTAGACAGTACGGAAAGTTCTTCTAGGATGAGAAGATGTCTTAGAAGGAACTACAAGGGGTCTGATCATTTGGGTGCAGCTGCTAATTATGAAGATAATCAGCAAATTCAAGAAAATCAGGAAAATGCAATATGCCCTTCTACAACCATTGTGCTGGCCGAAGCCATTTCAATGGAGGAAGTAAATGAAGATGATGAAAAAATGGACACTGATAACTTGGAGGGTAGAACTTATCACATGGATCAGAGTGGGGATAATCAACTAAGGCTGTCCACAGCGTCTGATCAATCTGTGCAGGCAAGACTGGATTCTAGTGATGCTCAAGTTGCTAATAACCAAGATTTAGTTCAAAATCAATCTGCAGTTGCACCTGGGTATGTTCCTAGTGAACTTGATGAAAGAATTATTATTGAACTCCCAACATCGATGGTCCAGCCATTGAAGGTTATCCGAGGAACCTTTCAAGTAAGTTTGCTATACTGTTTAAGCTGAGAAAATAGTTTCTATGCATGAGTCTACCTAGTTTGGAGTCGGATAATGTTAGGATGGTACCAGACATAGCTAAGAAGTGTCAAAGTTAACTAGCATGACATTCCTACTTCTGAAATAAAGTTTAGTTCTTGGAAATAATGCATAGAAAACAATCTAGTTGTATATACTGATGTACACTAATTACACAAAAATGTAGTAGATCAATCAGATGATGTAAATAAGGCTATTACCCCATATTAGTCCCAGCTATCTGTGGTATTGGGAAGGGTGGACTGGATATGGACCCTATCTTTCCACTGGTGGCCACTATCAAACTTAACCCACATTCTCACTCTTTCAACCTTAGATTTTACCATTGCACCAAGCAATCACCCCTAATCAGAAGACATAAATGGTCTACTAAAAACAGTAAAAACAGGTTATTGATAAAAAAAAATGAAAAGGTGGCTTTTCACCTACTCAGAGAGTAGATAGGGGCAAAGGAGGTGTATCCCAGTTTAGTGGGCGGAGGTCTTGAAGAAGAAGATGGTAGTAAAAATGTGGTGGATGAGAGGATTCTGAAAAAGAGAGAAGAGAATCATGAGGAGGATTCGTAGGGTCATAAAGGAAAAAATGCAGTTCCAAATGATGGAATAGGAAATATTGGAGGATCAGAGGTGCAGAATGGTAGGGGTAATGAGAGTGAAAAAAAATGCAAGAGATAAAAAAAAGGTCAGTCACAGGCTTACAGCATCAATCATATTTTGTGGAAGGTGATGGAGAAGGATGTGGATTTTGTGATAGAAACTGGCAATGAAGTCAAATCTAATCAGGCTTTACAAACTAAAAATATTTTAAATGCAAACTGCTTGATGATGACCATGGAGAATTGAGAAGAGACAAAACACTAATCAGGCTTTACAACCAAGGTTTTCTTTTTATGTGGTAGGCCCATGTAACAATTTTTAGAGGGCTTATAAGAGGAAGGGTGAGAAGGACAACTCCTGACAGCACAAGCTAGAAGAAAAGGCTTGACACCTCATCATCCACAAATATCTTTGGATGGTGTGGTGTTGGGATCAATTTCAAAAGATATTTTTAGGCCATCCATGAAGATAAATATTGAAGATCAAAGGAAAGGTTTGGAAGATACCAAAGAATCCCCTGAGATGCATTTGAAAGATGTTGAGATGAAACATGACCAAGACAAGCAAGGGGAAAAGAAATTTGAGCATGAAGTTCATTTCTTGTTACCTCCCCCAACTATGTGGGGCCAGTGCCATATGCCCATATCCATCGCTAAGTTATTGGTGCTTAAATAATTTCTTATTACTTCCTCCAAAGTCCTTGTTGTTCTGCCCCTAGCTCTTCTAGCCCCTTCAACTTCCTTTTCTTTAAAGGAAATTCAAGTTAGTAAAAATGTAGGGCCTTTTCTTCTTGGGGGATGAGGAATTCACTAGAAAAGCTTTCATGGAGTTGGAGAAAAGAGATCGAGAGAGCATCTGATGAATCTTCATCAGAGTCTGATGAAGTGGGGGAAGAAAAGTAATAAATAACTTTATTAGAGGTGTTGATGTGGAGTCTTTAGTACTCATTGGAGGTCAAGGAGGTTTGGCTAGTGTTGGTAATTAGTTGTAGGGGTGAGCAAATGGGTAAGTTCCACCCGGAACTCAATGGAACTGACCTCGAACCAACACTATCCAATGGTAACTGGGTAGGTTCTGGTTCCAAATTCTTGCATCCGACCCCTGCCCAGGCTGGTTCCATGATCTAGGGGTTTATCCCACCCGAACCAGCCAGAGAATCAGCCTTGATTGGCCTTGGTGGAATCGGCATTGGTTGGTCTTCTGGAACCAGCATTGGAACTGAACTTGCCTTAAAATAAATCCCAAAATACTTTGAAGATGTGAACCCAAGTATGGTTACAAGGACCATGGTCTCACTTGAGCCTTGAACCACTTAAGTGAATTGATAATTTTCTTCAATTTAATATTTGAATTTGTATAATAGGTAATGTAAAACGTAATATTTATAAAATTTAAATCATAATGATAAGTTTTGAACTATATGTTATCATTATTGAAAATCAAGTTTAAACATTTTAGGTTTGTGATATTATTATTATTTTTATAAAGAACAGGTTCCATGGCTAGAACCAGCCTTGAAACCACCAACACCCGAACTTCCCTTGGAAACGATCTTGACAGGAGGTTCCAGGTTCTGCCTTGGAACTGAACCAAGCCAACCCATGTTCACCCCTAATTAGCCGGGAAAAATGGCATGGATTTCAAAAAATGTTTCTTGCTGCATTCTTATATTCTTTCTTCATTGTTCATTTCATTTTATCTTCTCTAGAAAGAGTAACACAAGAGTGACTTAATACTCCTTAGTGACCATATCATCTTTACGGGGTAAGAACAGATGAAAGACAAGGGAACCAATAAAAAATTTAATTTCAATGATATGGTTTCCAATTGTACTATGTGCTAATTTTTCAACTGTGAATTAATAGTAATTTTTTAAAAGTATTATTGATAAGTTCTTGAGAAGGTTTTTATACAAGATAATGCCTTCTAAGTGCCCTCATTTTTCCAAATGTTATTTATGGGTTAATCCCTCTTTCAGATAACCACAAAGAGAATCAATTTCGTAGTTGATGATCACATTGACAAAAATGCTGCGGAGAGTGATTCAGGTTCCAGTTTCGAAAATAGGTATCGAGAAAAGAATAGAAGCTGGTTGATGTCTTCTATTCATCAAATGTTTAGCAGAAGGTGAGATGATAGTGGAATTCTTTTAGCTTACACATTATTTTTATTTCCTTTATTTATGTTTTACTTTATTGATAATATTTGAACTTGCATTTACTTTGGGTTTGTAGAAATGTGAGCTTTCCCAGCTTCCATCAACTGATAGTTGCAAACTTTTGACGGAATCTGTTTTGGTGTAGCATTATTTCCAATTTCAGGAGAAAGAAAACGCTGTAATGGTAGTATGTTACTGCATATGTTTTATGTTAAAGCCCATGTTCCCAAGTTCCTGAGGCACACATAGAGTATGGTGCATCTTATCATTCAAACAAAATAAAAAAAAAGAGGAAAATAGTGTCTCTTTCTAGTGTTAATTCCTTATTTATCCCAAACTTAATAGTCTCTTTCTGAGTAGTAGTTGTGATCGCCCTGGAGTGTGGAATTTTCTGGAGCATTTCTATGGAAGTGGACAACAATTATATTAGTTATCAAGGGGAATTCAAGTAGTGTTGCCAACCTAGTAGAGCAAGAATTATAGAGCCTATCCTACTTATTCAAAGAAATTCGAACTTCTGTTCATCCATTGCAAACAGATTCATGGTAGGTGATTTTCTCTCCTTTTCCTTAAATCAGTCGATGAAACGGTAGATGTTTTTTTCCTTAAATCAGCCAATGGCTGCTTGATCGCAGGCGCCAAACAGATTCAACTTAGTTATGGATTGGAGAATTGGGAGAAAAGAAACCTTGGTGATTCATCATCTTTTGGAGAGCCAACAGATTCATCACTAATTTACAACTATTAATTAAATATCTTGGAGGCATTTTTCAATCTAAAAGTGAACCTTGGGAAGAGTTGCATTATGGGTATTAATCTTGAGGGTGAAGTAGTGGAAAGATATGCTGAGACTTTAAGGCCTAGGAGTAACCTTGATTTTATCACTACGAAGCATTCTATAGCTATGGTAGGATTTGCTTTTTGGAAAACCATAAATATGTCCTGTGAGCCTCTTGGCATCAGCTTTTTTTTTTTTTTTTGAAGAGAACTGAAGATTTCTGTTGTTTCAAATAAGTAGAGAAAACAACTTGTTCTTGGACTGGTTTTGAGATTTGGAAAACTGATCTTAAAGACACATGACTCCTCAGTTTTATATTTTTTTCTGCTTCTTTCTTCTTTAGTTTGAGCATTTTAGCCACATCTTTGGGTCCTAATATCCAGCCTGTGTTAAGTTCAAAGTTCTGTGCTTCTCTATTTTGTGTTTCTATGAAATCTCAAAATTTCTATAGCTTCCTCTCTACAACCAACAATTTTATGCTATTAATCTGAGCCTCTGTCCATGCTACATCAATCTTTTAGAGTCAAACTCCCATGTGCATATCCATGCAATGCTGATTTATTTGTTTGTTTGTTTTTTCATGATTTAATATTTACATTTTCCTTGTGTGAACCTGTCTTGTTGTTTCTGATATCATTTTTGATGTGGCAGTCTGTTGTTTAACATACTGTCATTGACTCTGTTTATACATCAAAATTTCTTCGTTTTCTTATTATTTCCACTTTTTGCTTTACAGATATCTTTTACGGAGAAGCGCACTAGAATTATTTATGGTTGACCGGTCAAACTTCTTCTTTGACTTCGGGGTATAATATGTAGTAGTAATGTGATTGCATCTTCTTTTCATTGTAGCTTAACAAAAGACTGTTAATAGCATCTGCCCTTTATAAGATCACTTCTAAAACAAACCTTTTTATTTGCATTGCTCCAGAATATTGAAGGACGGAAGAATGCTTATCGAGCTATTGTTCAAGCAAGGCCTCCTCATTTGAACAACATTTATCTGGCCACACAGGTCTCTAACTTTTGACGCTTTAAGTCTGTATGTTTTGGATCTTGGCCATTCTACTCTTACAGACCAGTTTATATGCTATTATTTATTTACTTATTTTTGTCATAGAGACCTGAACAACTTCTTAAGAGAACTCAGCTTATGGAGCAGTGGGCCAGATGGGAGGTAAAAAAATTGATGATTGACCAGATACTTTGTACTTACATGCATAACTTACAATTCCAGCAATTTCATTTTATTATTACCTACTAAGAGAATGACCTATTTGCAGATTAGCAATTTTGAATATCTGATGCAGCTGAATACCCTTGCTGGTCGTGGTTATAATGACATCACACAGGTCAACTTTCTAGAGAGTTGCATCTATCCATACTCTCAATTAGGGAGATCTTTTACTTTTTATTACTGAGAACCCCTTCTCCTGTTAACAGTATCCTGTTTTCCCATGGATCCTTGCTGATTACACTTCAAAGAATTTGGATCTCGCTGATCCATCTTGCTACCGAGATCTTTCCAAGGTTGCACAAGAAATCCATTCTTCTCTCCTTAATTACTTCAAACTTTCACTTTTATCAATATGCTTATGTAGGCATTTCATGCTTTTTGCAGCCTGTTGGTGCTTTAAATGCTGATCGGCTAAAAAAGTTCCAAGAGAGATACTCTAGTTTTGATGATCCAATCATCCCAAAGTTCCACTATGGTTCACATTACTCAAGTGCTGGGACAGTAAGTTGCTAATTAACATGGAGATTCTTTTATTTATTTTGCAATATAGTAGCTCTAAGAGCAGTATTTTAAAATCCAACCTGGAGGTTGAATAGATTTTCCCTCTAGATGATGGTTCAATTTCTGGGTTGAACAATTTGGCCTATAATAGTTTTACAAATATTAGGGTTCTTTTAAAATTGACAGTTACTATTTTTAGTCAAATCATGACTTGCTATTTTTAGTAATTATTATTTATAGTAAAAATCAGATCTGTTAGAAGGAACCACAACGAGATCGAGTAAAATTTGGAGTAGGGAGTTCAAACTAACAAGGTTGTTGACAAGAAATCCTAAAATGCCAAAAATAAAGACAAGAACTGAATGAAAGGAATAAAAAATCTAGAAGAAAAAATATATATAATCAAGAGACTTAGTTCACAGATATTAAGTGAACTAACAGATCTGACGAAACAATCATCTGCATCTTCATCGTCATTGAAGTTTTCTTCGTATTACTTTGGTACCGTTTGGTTGTGAATAAGGTGAGAAAATAGATAATAGAGAACAAGGAGATCAAAGAGAAAACATTGAGTTTAACAATATCACATGCTGTCTCCCTCTCCAAAGGGTTTCTATCATATTAATGTCCCTGAATATATATATATATACACACACACACACACTAAAGTACCTCGATTTCTCATACATATCACAATCTAAATAATCCAACAATGAAGACCCTAGCATTGGAAGGGGAATGGAATATTCCTTTTACTAATCCATTTACTTCTTCTTTTGATACACTAGAAGTGGCTTCTTAGAAGTGACAGGCCGATCAACTTTGGAATGATCACAACATCAAAGTTATACAAGACAAGGATAGTAGTAGCAGGAGACTTAGCAATATAGTCAAAATAGAGAACACTTTTATGTAATAGGTGAGGAGAAAATCTTGTTGCAATGAAGAATTGGATACTGCAACAAAGGACCTTATGGTTGAGGTTATATTTGACAAAAAAACATTACTATTTGAAGATAGCTTAGACTTTAGGTCATTCATGAGGAGGATAAATAAAATACAGGCAACTGCAAACGTTTAATCTAGAATAGTCAGGGAAAGGGTGAAATGAAGAGAAGAATGGAATTTTTGATGAGTTACCTTCCACTCAAAAAGATTGAGGGGACTAAGAATCCTGTAACATGTAAGCACAACCTCCAATTGTCTTAGAAGACATACCTTGGCCAATTAGTTGCTCTTGTGCTTCCTTGCAAATCAGTTTAGGATTTATCAGGTTTTACTGAACTCCAACAAATAAGAAATATTTTTATCAGCAGAAAATATATTTCATTTTATTACATTTGATTTGATTAAAAGTGATCAGTACAACATGATGACAGAAATGTCATTCCTAACTTTTAAATCCGAATTACATAGCAGCCCAGAATAATTGTTGCCTCAAAACCCCTTGTTTAGCTAGTGAGTCAGCTAACCCATTTGCACTCTTTCTAGCCCACTTAAATTCAGCCTCTATGTCCTTTGTAATCTTTTTCACTTCCCTTATCACCTGTTTAAGAGTCCAAAGAGTCCGCCCTACTGCACTTTGCCCATGGGATGACTACTTTTGAATCCCCTTCCACTTCAATCATTCTGAAACCCAACTGTTTTGCTAAATCAAGACCTTGCAGCAGAGCTTATAATTCAGCCTTAAAGAGTTTTCAAAACCAATTGGTCCTGAAAACATAGCCAAAATCCTCTTCTTAGAATTTCTGATTACCCCTATACCTGCCTTGGGTTTCCAAGGGAGCTCCCATCAAAATTCAACTTGACTTTATTATCTTCTGGGGGTTTCCAATCCATTCTTATTATATCTTTTGCTATTGCCGACAAATAAGAAAATAATAAAAAAACTAGTGTTCGAATTATGAAAATATTATAAACCCACAAAATAAGTAATTTAATGTAATAATGTCTATTTTATTATTATAATATCTAAAAATAAAAATACAAAGAAATTATATGGAACCTTACAAAAAAAGGGGAAAAAACTAGGCACTTGGGAAAGGGGATTTACCTTGTACTTCCTTTGTTGACACATTGGCTAAGCAAGGGGTGGGAAGGAATCAATTGTTTTGGGCTTTGTTGTAATCTTTTCTTTTAAGAGAGAGCTAAGAGAGTTTATCTCTCCCTTTCTCATCCTCGTACTTCCTTTTCTTTATTAATGAAATAGTTTCTGTTATTGATAAAAAAAAAGAACACCAAGATCATCTCATAGATTGTCGGTTTAGATCAAGATTGCTATGAGAGGTTTCAAGACTGCAATGATACCTCAAAATTTCATCACTTGTGTAATTTTTTTAAGTAGTATGCTGGGTGTCTAGTTTGCATCACCCTACTGATATGTCTCGAAAAGTTCACATACAATTCTCAGACACAAGACAAGAACTCCACAACTCAGATAAAGAGAAATTGATATTCATTCAGAGGAAAACATTAACAGTAGGTCGGTTCTTCGAGAGACCGTCGGCTCTCCCAACACTCAAAATATTCTTCACTCCAAAAAACCTCCTCTCCCCATCCCCCAAAGACACTTCTTATACTCTTCTGAAAGCATAACAGACTCCTCCCCCATAAATGCCTAGCTGGCCTAATTATAAATGCCCAACAGTCTTCTTATTCATAACTGACATAGCTATAAATGCCCCAAGACTCTTCTTATTCCCTTCAGACTTCCTCTATAAATGCCCAGCTGGTAAGTCCCATGTGTTCAATTATTTCCCCCCYTWAMCSRWT